GCGCGCCCGCCCGCGCCCTGGCCGCCGAGCGCCCGCGGAGGCCCGAGCTGGAGAGTTTCAGGTGGGACACCTTGTGGAGCAGATGGCCCAGGCTGCCCGGCCCATCGTCGGGCGCCCTGCGCAGCGCGTCTCCGGACACCAGGTAGGGGGCCGCCGCCGGGGCCGCGCGCGCCGCCGAGACCTTGCCGCCGCCGCTCACCGACAGGTTGTGCAGAAGGTCGTCGACCGATGTCACCGAGTCATTCCTGAAGCGGTTGTACTTGGTGCGTGGAAGCATGCCCCTCCGTGGGCTGGCCGCATCCGCCCGGGCGCTGCAGGGGCGAGCGCGGCCCGGCGGGACGCGGCGGCCGGGGTCCACCACGTGCTGCCCGCGGACCCAAATCCCAGACGGCGTCCCGGAGGTTCAACCAGGACCAGACAGGGAGGCTACGGTCACACCTGGGGGGTCGTCCTCTCTGTTCCCCGAGACACCTCCCTTGTCCCCCATGCCGGATCCCAGTGCGGGGAGCATCCTGTCCCAAACAGCCCTGCCCAGGCCCCCCACGTGAGTCCACCCTGGCCGGAGGCTCCTCGAGGCCCCACTTGCTGATTTCTCTTTACACAGAAAACCTCTAGAATGGGATTTATTCCTGCCTCCATTGTTCGTCTTTTCTCCTGGCCATCCAGAACCCTGCCCAGAGGACGAGCCTCCTCAATGTTTTTTTGTTTTGTTTTAATTTACTATTGCCCTATATTTAGGAACACCTGGCCATTTTTTTTCCTGCTGCTTAACTGACAAGGCAATACCCATTTGGTTCCTAATAGAATTGCCTCTGGCAGGCATCTATACCTATAGTCCCTATCCCAGAGCCCTCCTCTTGTAAATTTCTACCTTATAATTTAGCGGTGCAGTCTAATTGATTTCAACCTGGTGCCTCTTGTTTGGTGCATTATTAAAGATGTCTCGGTTACAATCATCTAAATAATTTAAATGTCTTCGAAATGATGCAATTATCAAGAGAAGGTGGACCGCAGAGCTTCCATGCTCTTGCCACCTGTTTGGTTCATGCTGACCTGTACCAATTACTCATTATTTCTCAGGAACGTTTGTTGAGCCTTAACTAACGATCGGTTTAGAACTATCCCTGTTGCCCTTCCTAAGCAGGTCTCCTGGGAAGCCCCAAACACCTGTCTGTGGATTTGAGAAGTTGATTTCTTTCTCTTCCTAATTTTTGGCCAGATGTTCACCATCTGGGCCTGTGTATGGTCCCTTCCAAGTTGCTCAGCCCTTTTAGGGTCTTTTGGCATGAGACAAGTAGGTGTGCTGAGGAGTGTTGAGTCAGTCTGGAGCTGACCTCAGCCCAGGTTGTTAAAGGAAGAGCTATTCAGCTGGGTGAGGCATTTCCACAATAGCTTTCACAGACACTCACATCCCATCTGCAATTGCAGCAATTTTTTATGGTCTTTCCTTTTTTCTCCTTTTGCAGAGCAGTGATGAGGGCTAAGCTGCTTGCTGACATTTGTTGGTCTTTAATAAATTTCTTACAGGGGCGCCTGGGTGGCTCAGTCGGTTAAGCGGCTGCCTTCGGCTCAGGTCGTGATCCCAGGGTCCTGGGATCGAGCCCTGCATCGGGCTCCCTGCTCTGCGGGAAGCCTGCTTCTCCCTCTCCACTCCCCCTGCTTGTGTTCCCTCTCTCACTGTCTCTCTCT